ACGAACTCCGCCGAGAAGCCGGTGAAGATTCCGTTCGCCCCGGTGAGGAAGAAGTCCGTGAACTCGCCCGATTTGTGCGCCTTGGACGTGTCCCCCAGGAACAGAACCACCAGATCGGTGGCTTCTTTGTTGTACCACCAGGTGACCACGCCGAATGGCAGCGCGATCGCATCTCCCTTCTTTATCGCAATCACCTTCTCCTCCGATTCCGGCAGGATAATTCCGGCAACACCATTGCCTGCGACAAAACAGAGCAGATAAAAATCAGAACCACAACATAACTCACACAGAGAAGACGGATTTGAAATAGAAATAGAAATAGAAATTTTACCTTGAAGAACGTAAGCGACCTTGGCAGAATCGGAGTAACGAGGGAGCGCAAAGCCATTCTTCTCGAGGGCTAGCTTCGAGGCGCCGATGTTTCCTTCGCGCAGCATCGGAAGTTCGGCCGGAGACCATGAAAAGTAGGCTCCTCCATCGCTGCCGTACGCCTTCTTCGACAATTTCGGGGTCAAATCGATATCCATAGCAATCAAAGAATCAAAAGAAGGAAAAAAAGTTTAAGTGTAACAAAATCTCTGGGATGAACACTCTGAATGATCTCTGTAACAGATCTGTGAATTCTGCAATCTCAGTTCTGCACTATTTATAGAGATAAATCAGATATAATTTGGATAAGCATCCACCTAACAGAATCTCATAAGGAATAGGAAATTTGTTAGGAAAAGGGAAAATTTGTTACGATTCCTTTTATTAAGAGGGAGCGTTTATTTGGAGCAGACTCACGCATTTCAGTGAAGTCAGTCCACACTCGAGATAAGTGTTTTTCTTTTTTAAATTCATCCATAAATTAGTTTTAAATATATAATTGATTTTTTAAAAATAAAATAAAAAACCAATTTRTCCCTATAATTTTACAAGTTTTAATTTAATCTTTATTATCTGAGTTTGATTTCAARTTAGTCCAAGGTGGTTTGGAAGATATTTAAAAAAATAATTTTTAATAATTAAAAATAAATTAATCMTGTTGCATATTTGGGCAAGTCCAACCTAAATCAATGATGTGACTTACTTAAATACGCATTTGTTCTCTATAAATTCTAATGGCAGAAGTTTAAATACAATTTTTTATTGTTTGGCTTTAATTTCAGTTTTATTCTTATGATTTTTGTTTAATTTTAATTTAGTATATATGATTTTAATAGTTTCAAATTTCGTCAATTTATAAATCACCTTCATCTATATATATTCACTATTATCTTAACATGCTAACCATGTTTTCTATCTTTTTTAGTTAAAGAAAAATAGTAAATTTAAATTAAACTCAAATTAATAAAGAAAATAAATTCAAATTTTAAGTTTATAATTTCAATGTTTAAAGATAATATTGATAAGACTTAAAAGTTACTCAATCAAACAAATGAAAACTAATGAAAACATGAGTTTTTAAATTATAATCATATTTTTTTAATTGAGTATATTATTGTTGGTTAAAATTCTCTTTTAATACAAACATTATAGCATTATAAGTTAAAACAAAAATATAATAGTAAAAGGAATAACATAAAAGGGTGCAAAATACATATAAATTTTTAATAGATCATTCAAATTTTTAAATAAAATTAATCTCMTAAATTTAAAAGTCCTATAGGGAATCTTGTTTATCTAGATATAATTTATTTCCTTTAGTATCAAAATAAATTAGAAAATTAAATCAGTAAAAGCATTTGTTCCATAGCTATCTCCTCTTTCAAGATTTTAATGATCTCAAATCAAATTGGGACACATTTCAAATAGATTCTTCTTATCTCTTAAATATAATATGGATTTCAAATATTGTTTTTAATTAAACTATTTTCTAGATTAAAATGGTTGGATTGGGTTAAATTTTAAAGTGAATTAAATTTGGAGATTTTTTTTATTTAACATTGTAATATTTTAATTTTGTATTAAAATATTAAAA